TGGTCTGCCTAGCTGGGGCCTGGAGGCTCTCATGACTGTCCAGGTCTCTGCGGTCAGAGGGCCCACCTCAGACCCTGAGCCCGGAGCGAAGCGAGGGTGTGGAGCCTGGCAGGGCTGCCCCCAAGGCCCTCACCCCGCCCGCTAGGCTCCGCAGGCCGCCTCTTCTACCGCTTCTTCTTGGCCTCCTTCTTGGGCCTCTTGTTCGCAGAAGGAGCAGCAGTCTTGGGCTTCCTCGTCACCTCTGCGCTTCGGGGCTCAGATGGTTCTGCCTCCTACGTGGCGAGAGAAAGGAGAGTCCTCCTGAGACAAACCAAGCCTGACACCAGCAAAATGAGATCACGATGGGAGGGGCTTTGCAAACGGAAACGTCCCACAGAAATACAAGGGGTGGAAACTGTCACTGCCGGGACCCAGGGTCCACAGCATGCGGGATTGCCCCTGGGGAACAGGGTGATTCTCCGTGTAGGATAAGAGAGGAGGCCCAAAGGGGAGGGGGCCGCCTCTGGAGTCTCACAGGCCTGTGTGGAATCCAGGCTCCTCCACGTTCCAGCTAAGAGACCTTGTAGGCAACTCGCTTCCCCTTTCTGTGTCTTGGCTTACTCACCTGTGAAATGGAAATAGTGATGCATACCTCGGAGCACTGATGTGAGGAGGCAAAAGTGCATGGAAAGAGCTCAGTGAAATGCAAATGCAGCCGGTGGCTGGCTGGTCACCCTATGCAGGGACTGGGCAGAATGTGAGCAAGGAGCCGGCTGCGGGCAGACCTACTGTGGCTTGCTCTTCTGGCCCTGCTCCTCTCCTCCTCCCTTTCAAGCCACAGACTGCCAGGGCCGGGGAGGGTGGAGAGCGCCAGCCGGCAGACGGGCAGCCCTGACACTGTGTTCTGTGGCGCCTGGCAGAGGTGCCCCGCGGGAAAGGGCAGAGGGCAGCCTCGGGGCAGAACTGCAGACTCTCCCTACATATGCGGCAGCTCTGGTTTTTATCTGTCATGTACACTGTGATTTGTTCCCTGTAAGATTTGGTTTAAACAAAGGTTTTACTGCTGAAAAAAGATTCAAAACCACAGATCTAGCTCAGCCTTTGCTGTGCTGATAAACAAAGTAGACTCTAGGGAAGGGACTTGGCCTGTCCCAGCCCCACAGGCTCACATCAGAGAAGAAACCAGAGTGGCCTCAGTCCTGTTGAGTGTCCCCTCCTCCCTGGGTGATAAGTCACACTGAGCCACAGTCAGGCAGGATGTGAGCGAGGCCCATCCAGCCCAGAGAACATGAACTATAGTCCACAGGCCTTGTCCGGCCCACAGGCAGACTTCACTTGGCCTGCAGCATTTATTTTTAAGAATTTGAGCCAAATGGGAGATTTCCTATTCAATCTGGATTCCTTGCTTTTCTTGAAGACCTTAAAACATCCTGTGACACTGGCCCTGAGTCCCTTCATGGAAGAAATGACTGAGTGGTGGCTGCACCTTTCTTCAGGTGCCCACCCCTCCATGGCCCCACTGCCCCCAGTACTATAGGAAGGAAATATTTCTCAGTACCTGTGCTCTTTTATTAAAAATGGGAAAACAAAAAAACTAAGAATACTAGGAGGGATCACACTGTTTCTAGAAGAGAACAGTATTTCTTCGTGTTTAGTTGGCCAGCTCCCAGCTTGCTTTACTCTCTGTCCTTCCCTCCTCACTGTCGGCCCCTGGCCTAGGCCACCATCAGACAGAAGAGGCAGGACTACGGCTGTGGAGGGCAGTCCCCACCTAAGGCCCAGTCCAAAGGTCTGTTGGCTCTCTCTTACTGGCCATCATTGTCTGCTCTCCACCCTGCGAGCCTGCCAACCCTGTCCCAGGCACCCCTGGGGGATCCTCCCAAGATAACGAGGGGGCTGGCCCCTCCCCAGCCAGGTCTCTGCTTGCGCCCTGGACTCTGCCAGCCTGGCCTCTGGTGCTGACACTATTTATGTAACCTGGAAACAAAAAAAAAAAAAAAAAGAAAAAAGCAAGCAAGAAAGAAAGAAAGAAAAGAAAAAAGCTAGCCCGTTAGAAAAACAAACAAAACCAAACCTCAGAGGAGCCAGTGTGTCAAGTGCACAGGCTGACTGATGGCCGCAGAGCCCGGCAGGAAGGGCTACTGTTTAAGGCAAACTTCACACGACACAATGCCTCTGGAGACTTTCAGGGCTGGAAACCGTCCCCAGCCCAGCACCTATGAGGCCAGTGGAAAGTGGTCAGTCCCTGCCTGCGTGCCCTGTTTGGGCCTTATGAGATGCATGGTTTATGCACAGGGAACTTGCCGAGGTCTGCCAGGATCTCCAGGGATGGAGCCCAAAGCTGAGTGCCTCCTCTGGTTTCAGTGGGGCCTGGATCAGAATCCAGAGATAAGGACACCCAGTTGTCCCCAGGACATTCCTTACTCCACAGACCTTCTCTCGGGCACTTCATCCTTTCTGTCACCTCCCAGACCTCTCTCCTGACCCAGCTGTCTGTCAGATGACAGGAACTGGCACCTCCCCGGCACCTCCAATTCAAGTGTCCCATTCAGAGCGTGGCCCCTTCTCCAGCTGGCCTGGCATCCTCCCTGCTGGTGGGCAGAGCAACCAGAGTCCCAATGACCCTACCTTCTCCCTCCTCCCCTCTGTTCAGTCAGACATCAAGTCCTGCTGATTCGACCTCCTCCACCTCTTGACGTGGCCACTCTCTCTAGCATCCAAGTCCCCACTGCAGTTCCCCCACTGCCAACTGGCCTCCCTGTCCTCTCCAAGCCATTCCTCATGCACCTGCCAAAAGAATTTTTCTCAAATGCAGATCCCCCGCCTTCAACCTTCCAGTGGTTTCCATCACCCACAGTCTCGTGTCCCACACCTGGGACGGCACCTAAGGAGGCCACTTCTCCAGCCTCCCCTAGTCTCTCCTCCAGGCCCCACACTGGGTCAGGCCCCAGGGCTTTCTCTGCTTACCCCTAAACAAGAGGAGCATCCTTCTCTCCTTGGCCACCCAGCAAAGCCCTCCCATGGTTTGGCCCAGCCCAAGAACACACTGCTACTCACTGTCTAGCCTTCCTCCTCTGCCCCTCTACCTCCGGTAGGGTGCATGCCCTCCTCCCACCCCTACGCCCCAGGTACCCAGGAACCTTATGATGCCACTTTTATTTTACCAAAGTCACATGTTCTCATGTTGGTCTCCCCTACTGGCCTGTGAGCTCCTCCAGACAGCTTCAACTGTTCCTGAATGAATGAATGAATGAGTGAATGAAATGAAATGAAAGAACACACAAGAGCTCCCCTAATCATGGGAACTTTGCTCTTGTTTATTATCATGAAAATGCACTTAAGTCTAGGCCTTGCTTTTTCCATGGGCACAGAGGACACAGATACCCTAAAGCATGGCTGGACACGGACACCAATAACAATAGTAATAATAACAGCCACAACATCTGCTAATATTATTTACAATATGCCAGGCCCCAGGTCCGTGGTCTGTACATATCTCACTTTTGCCTCAAAAATTGCCATAATCAGCCCCATTTTATAGATGAAAGAGACACTCAGAGAGGTTATGTGACCCAGCTAAGGTCTCAGCTGGTGAGCAACAGAGACAGGATGAACCTAAGCTCTTAACGTCCGTGTGGTATAGCCTCTCCCGGATTTCCTAGGGATCTCGGGGCTGATGGCAACCAAGAATCTGAGTCAACTGTGAAATATACTTTCTCTCCATTGAGCAGCGCCTGGAAGCACAGGTGACTGTGGGATGACAAGAACAGCTTGTTCTAATTCCTGCCGCTGGGTCATTCAGGAAGCCCTTGCTTGTGACTGCAGTTCCTACAGGAGTCAGGGAAGTGGGTTAGCGCTCCTCGAGTCAGGCTTTGTTTTCTACAGTTGAGAGCAGCTCTCTGTGGGAGTGTGGACAGTGTACAGTCATCGAGTCATCTGAAGGCATTTTCTGTCTCCTCCTCACTCCAGACCTCCTCCTCTCTTCCCCAGCGCAGTTTCTGGCATTATCAGCCACACAGGTACCCAAGCTAGAAACCTCCAAGTCATTTATGAGTCCTCGTGCCCCCACATCCAATCTGTCCCCATGGCCTGTCCATTTTGCCTTCCACGGGGCTCTCAACTCTGCCTGGTCCCCTCTGGTCCCACACGACCGAGCCAGTTCAGACCACACGTCTCCTGCCTGCCCCTCCCACAGGTTTTCCTCACCGTCTGCCACACTGCTTTCAGAGTCTATTCTCCTAAAACTGTCCTGACCACGTGTCTTCTGCTTTAAACATGTTGCTGGTTCCCTCCTCGTATAAGACAAATTCCAAGAACCCCCGAGAAGCCTCCAGAGCCACTGCACTGCAGCCCTGGCCCTGTCTCCAGGCACACCCCCTTGCGCAGCCCACTCTGTCACTTCTGGGCTACTGGCCAGCCAGTATCCCCCAGATGCTCTGTTCTCTTTCATGCTTTGCACATGTGCTCTGCAACCATCAACTATCTGTCTGCGCCCAGTGGATGCAGGTTCTGTGCTGGGCAGCACAGGATAATGAAGAAGAGGTGCACACTTAGTGATGTGCACCACGTGGGTACTTGACAACATCAGCTCACTAAGCCTCCCATCACCCACATGAGCCTGTCACTCTGAGCTCCATTTTGTAGGCAAGGAAACTGAGGTGCACCAAGACTTAGCGACTGGCCCAAGAGAGCACGGCTTCCTTCCCCACAAGCTGCAGGGAAGATGTTACACACATGATTCAGATGCTGGGGTCCTAGCCACACAGAGCTGTAGCTCCGAGTTCTTAGCTGGCAAGAATGATTGAATAAATGGCTGACTCTTAGCTTCTCTTCAAATGTACATTGCTGGTACAAGCCAGGTAGATGGCGGACACCAAACTCTGCAGCCCTACCCTTAAATCTGGGAACACCTTGCCTTCTCTGAAGCCAATTTGCAGTTTCCCCAGCGATTCCACTTTGGAGAGTAAAAGAAAACCTCCCTCCACCGCAGGTGGTTCCTGGGTCTGCAGAGGCGTCCTCTGTGGACACAGGCCTCATCAACAATAAAGAAGCTCCGAGCCGCTTACGAGGCCAGAAAATTGCTGCTATTCATCAGATTCAAATAATCGAATCTGTGCCACAGTAGATCAAATCCCTTCCAGCAGGGAAGGCACATGGCATTTTATGATTTCCACTCTACAGTTCAGTGTGGATTTAGTCCAATAAATCAGGACAAAATGTCATTTTACACAGACTGAAACTATTCTCTCCTCTAAAACGGTCCAGGGAAAGAAAACCACCATAGCCTCATGCT